TCTCATCCTCTGCTTCTTTTCTTTCCGCCACGTTCTTTTCAAAGTCATTCTGAAAAAGGCTCGGGAAGCAAACGTGTGCAAACTACTCCCCAAAAACTCATCAGACTTTATTTCTCTGAGAGGTGCAGAAACGTCTTCTTCAAAGCCGAATGGCACCAATATCTCAGTGGTTGTTTAAATCCAGCTAAATAATTCAGCTGCCTCTCATTATCGACTCCACCCAACACAAGGCGCGGACACAAAGACAAGTGGGTGTCCTCGCTCTTCGTCGCCTCTCCACGCTACAACTAAATCTGGCATTATTCTAATTAATGAGACGAGTTCATTAGCACTCTCTGGGGTTAATGTGTTGTCCTACAGCAGATTAGCTGAAGGGATTTCAGAGTTGCTAGAGCATCCTAATTAGATCACAGTGGGTGCTGCCTGCTTAAATAGATGGAATAATGAAAGTCGTCGCTCTTCTCAGCGGCGACTTGATTAGCGCGCCCCTATCTCCTCTCATGAAAGGCCCAACGTTCACCTGGAACAGAACTCAGGGAAATTGATTCAATTATACGTATCATTAAAACAGTCAGAACTCTTTCTACTCAAATTTGGATTGGCCTCGCTTTATAAGTGGGTCAAAACTCCCATCTAGTGGACAGGGATGGTACTGCAGGCGTTAATGAGGACTTGGTTCTTACAGTGTAGCAGCTGATTGGATAATGACTCATATTGGTATCATTAAGTTTCTCTGCTTGAAATCAAACCGAAATGTTTGTTGTGACATCATTTCGGTCTTTTTAGGTTGCAGACCACAAATACAAAGCATTTCATCATTATTCTAAAAACATATATTGTTGTGCTGGACTTGAAATACATGCTGGGGCTGGAGATGTGCCTCTTTAGGTGTGGGGGTGCAAGGCTGCCGCAATTAATATTTTATACTTCATTTGAATATGGCGATGTGGGTGAGATGGGGGGGGGGAATAAGTAAGGACATAAGCGAGATGCTAAATCCTGTAGTGTTTCTGTGTTGTGCAACTGTAAGCACAATAAAAAAACATACAGCCCTTATGGGAAACAGTGCTTTAATGCCTCGCTTTTGTATGTGACATTGGTTGGTGTGTTTAAATAATTGATTGAGTATATGTATAAACTCAATTAAGAGGGAAGATATGGGTTTGTGGTCTAATTATCACATTGAATACCTAGAATGGAATTCCTTCACCACAGTAACCTTATAAAACTATATTTAAATTCACTAGATCGAGATTTTAAATTGGATCTGCGCCGAATTACACACACTCATTAATAATAATACCCTTAATCATCAATATCCATGATTATTCTATGATAAATATAGAAGAACAACCTTAGGAGTTATCATTATATAATTAAACTGAAAACATGACGTTCATTTTATCAGCTGATTCCAGCATTTCTGTTCTGAATGTGAGACATGTGGAGGTGGTTTGCAGCGAGGACTTGGACTGAATAAATACAAACTTATGAATTCTCAACCTTGTTCTGCAAGTCTGATTGTGTCAAATGTATTTAGCAGCTAGCATTTGATATGTACACAATTCCAGCAGTAATTCTGTTGTTTTCTATGATTTCTTTATTTAGAGTACTTGGGTGTACGACATTGGCCAAATCATTTCCTTCTTTTGTCTTCTTGTGTTAGTCTCAAATTAGTCCCAGTGCCTTCAAACTATTTTCATCATTTCCTCTGTTAAGCTTCTAAAAGTAACCTAATCTTCTGCACTCATCCCACCAACCCGCCATGTTGCTGAGCCCAAGTTCTTCTTGTGTTTTCACACTGTTCTTCCAGTGGAGAATATTAATAAAAGTGGCATATTAACACTACAACGGCAGACGCTGAGTGACTTTATGATTACGATGCAGAGGCTGTTGTCTTTCAGATAAGCAGAAGTGGAGGAGGCGGAGGAGGGAAGGGGGATTATGAAGCTAATTCCCTCATAACGCCTTCCCTCATTAATCACTGCGAAGCGATACGAGATTCTTTAAATGCTAATGTCCAATAAAGATGTCGGCAATGACATTTTCCTGTGAAGCAGATGTGAACAAAGTTGTCCGTGTTGTTGTGGAGGAACTTGAAGGATCCTCTAACAGGATTAAACATAAATGTGTTATAATTTGCAATTTACTTACTAATCCTTTCTTTTTTTTCTGGCAAGTCAGAAATTCTAACTTTCAGCACCAAGGTCGAACGCAGCTAGAAATAACTTGGAGGAAATGACTTATGTCAAGAATAGGTGAAACATACTTCTTCAGAGGAATCAAACTTTAATTCTGTTTAATTGATGCATTACCTGCTCTATTAACAAGAAATTAGTGGAGGTTTGTGGCAACAAAAGAAATACTGTACATCCTTTCTTGTCATCAAAGGATTTCACAGCAAACACAGATGGACGAAAAGGAAAACCTTGGATTTTCCTTAGAAGCACCAAATTATCACCCTAAATCAAATGACAAAAAACAAAATCACTGGTGCCTCAACTCATACTTGACTTGCAGAGCAATATCAGTCCTTGCAATCCCTTTTTACAGAATTAGCGTCCGTAGGCTAGAAAATGAAATGTACCGAAGCTCCTTCCTTTTGCTTTAATTTTCCATGGACGAATCATTCTCTGAAAATCCTTTATTGAAAGGATATGATCGTTTTCAAAACAAAGTCATTCTGTTGAGGCGTTCACGTTGACTGAGGCATCTCCAACCAGCTCCAGCATCCTTGAGAGTGAAATGAGAAACATTACGACACTAAAGGTTAGTGTAGTATCGATTTCTGCTCTCGTAATCTCTGTAGGCAAACTTGGCGTCCTTCTTGCTGTGCGGGATTCGTCCAAAGGGCGCGTGGTCGTTGAAGCACGTGTCGAAGACCTCGTCCACTATTTTCTCCGCCTCCACTTGGCTAATTTTCCTCACAGCCAGGATGGAGCGGAGGGCGCGGCCTCTGACGCATTCCTGTCCGAGGAAATAGGGTGAGGTTAAGATTTGGGTAAGAGAGACAGAGCTGAAAGCTGCCACTAAGAGTCACATTTATCCCATCGCAGGTACCTGATGATGCTCCTTCAAGCCGAAGTTTAATCTGGCTACTTCGTTGCTAAAGGAGCAGTCGCCACTGAGGTTAGCTGCCCGGATCTGAAACAGTGACATAAAGAAATCTTGACTAGATCTGTAGTTCTGTGAGTTAATGTCTTGTTGGGATTCTCTATAATAGTGTATGGTCTCGAACCCAGGCCAGCCCGTTGAATCCCGAAGGGGGTGCTGTATCCACACTCTGATTATGTAACAGGTTCAATCATGAAAACAGGACCATAATAACACTGGTGGGATTTAAAGTGAATGAGATCAGCCAGCGTTGGACCCCAGTCTAAACTCACCTCAGAACAAGCGAGGTGTCTGAAGTTGTTGAACCAATCCACGTGGGCCCGGCAGTGATCGAAGGCGTGGATGAGCTCATGTGTGACCACTCGGTTCATGTGGGACTGCTGGTGGATGTTGTTCTGACATAAAACAATCTGCAAACCAGAGCAAGTACATCATTACTGGTGAGGCCAGTTATCTTGTATCTTTTTAATGTAACCATCTTTCTTACTTGAGAAGAAGCTGCATCGAAGCCTCCGCTGACGCTGCCGTCACAGTCTTCACAGACAAAATGTCGGTCTTTAAATATTTTGCTGTGTTGAGAAGAGAAAGCAAAGTCATCTGCATGCGAATCAGTCTGTTATAAATACAAGTAGTAACTATTTAAATTATTATTATCTAAATTGCATGTAAATTGTTTTGAAAGGTGTCGTGTAGAGTGAGCTTGTCACAGGAAATAATAAATGGCAGTGAAATCATGAATATTAAGGTGATAGATGAGGTGAGTTTAAAGTTGTGAAGGTGTTGGTGAAGGTGTTGGTGAAGGTGTTGAATGTTAAATGTACGGTGGCCAAGAGAATTAAACACACTGCAAATTAAGAAAACACAAGCAAATAGAAAAATATTAAGAAAACAACTTCATCAATTTGTCGACACATGCGCAAAAAGGTCACAACTCATGCAAATACAGAAACACACTGAAAATTGTGAAAACGACAACAAAAATGTTTCAAGGGGGACCCAAAAAAGTGAAGCACCTGGCTGCAGTTCAATGCTTTGTGAGGTTTTGAAGTCTGCTACTCATTAGTGGTGATGGAAACATTTCCGATGACACAATTTGCTGGGTGTTTAAGTATCTGCATGTGTTGTGACTCTTTGCAATGCATGTGTCGCACTGCAAACTGTGATAACAACATCGGAAATCTTTCCATCACCAAATAGATGAAGTGTTGTTTTCCATTTGTTTTCTTAATGTGCAGTGCGTTGAGTTCTCTCTGCCACGGTACAAATGATACTTATAGGGAAGTACTTACCTATACTTATAGGTATAGATAAGGTATCCTGTAAACTATTTTGATTGTTTATAATCAATTTAACTGGCATTAGAATAATCAAGCTGTTTATTATTATTGACATTATTTCTTCTTTATTTGAACCATCTGTTTTCTTTGAGTTATCATTATTTCATGAGCAAACCTTCTTCCTGTCAGACTGTGAAGTGTACAGCTGTGTGTTCAAGCAAAGACAAACACATACTGACCATCCTGAGCGTCTCATGGCACTGAGGAGGAGTTTGGCATAAGGACCTGGAGGAGACAGAGGCCGGTTAATGTGGTCACCCTCACAAACCACCGCTAGCTAACAATGACCCAGCTAACGTTAGCTGCCAGCATGTTAATCACAGCCACCGTGGAAGTAACAACGTGTTTCCTGTGTCTGTGCAGGACAGAGAGCAGGATCACTCACTGGTGTCCATCGCGACCTGCAACATGACCTGACACTTGTGGTGGAACGTGAACAGACTCTCCGCGACGGATCCCTTGCTGAACTTCGATCTGTTCCTGTCCGGGAATAAGTCGTAGCCATACTCCTCCTCTTGTTTGGTCTGGTCCATGACACTGGGAAATGTTGACAACAATGTGGAAATGTTAGCATCGAGCCCGCCCCCCGGTTAGCTTCCTCTAGCTAGCACAGAGAGGTCGTCTGTCGCCACGGTCACGTGATCACTAAAGTTCAAAGGTAAAACAAACAAAAAAGTCTCTTTGTTATTTATCTTTTATTATTCGATTCACATCCATCTTGGACATAAAGGCTCATTCAATTCAATTCATTTCAATTAAATTATTTAATGTGATAAAATTATTTCAATGGAGTTTTCTTAGAGACGTTTCCGGTATAGATCGTCTATTGAGAATCTGCAGACAAGCTGTCAACGTGGAGCGAGATTTCTGGACCAAAATCTGTCTATGCCCAAAATACTTGACATAAACCAGCGCAGTTACTGCAGCTGCCTGGACAACGATACTAAACTACAATTAATTAATCATACATGAGCCCAGGAGTCCTTATTTAATAATTATATTTCTTAATATGTTGTTGTTTCAGGCTGTAGCCAACTTTATTGAAATCCCATGTACTATATAACTCAATTATATGAATGTTGCAGCCACAGAAATGATCTTTTATATGGTTGAATCAATTATTTGTACTTATTTAAGGTGATGCTTCTGATGATGATTTGGTTTTGGGGGATTTGGTGAGCGATTGTAGCATAGACGATCTTTCTTTGCGCAGTGGCTGCTGGGACTCCGCTGTCATGGCTCCCAACATCAACAGAGACTGCTCACAGATGGTGTCATCTCTTTTATTCTTTTCTACTGTCTGTGCTCGTATGTACTGTATTTTAATAAGGCCGAATTCCCAATATAGATCACCTCTCTACTAAATATCCAGATATATTGGTTTTATATGAAAAAGATGTTTTAGGGGTTTAGTTAAACTTTAAAAAGATTTATTAAGCATTACATGGGTCCATGCCATGCCAATTCTTTTCTTTTTGTCTACAGGTCATTTAAAAGATGTGACAGTGCCACACTTACAAATAACATCATATTTCTTTCAAAGCCAAAGAAATCCAGTCTCCGAGGAAAGAGAAGTTGACTAGTCAGCACATTCTGTGGATGAGCTGCACCAGGTTTCCTTAAAGATCAAGGAGAACTAGGTAAATGTTCTGTTTTTCATTGGCCAATTAATGTTTGTTCCTTGTGAACTTCAGACATGTTTTAATAATGAAGTCACTTTAACCCAGTCCTTACTACAATACCTTTACTATCAGACACATGTAAACCTGCTGATTTGTCTGTTGTTGCAGCTCTGTAGCCCTGTGTGCCTGGTTCTACAGTTACTCAAAACTGTGGAGTCAATAAACCGCTTCACGAGCAGTGGCATCTCTGTGCACCATTGTTATCATGGAGTTCTTCACAATCTTATGGAGAATTTAAGGCTAAGTTAAGAGATTTAAATGTCTTTAAGGATCATTTACATTTCTCCTTTGGTTTATCACAGTTTGCTCAGTTTACTTCCCCCAGACACTTGTGGCATCAGATGCAGATGTTCAGTGAAGCAGGGGCAGCTGCCTTTACATCAGTGGCAGTTTCTGTTGACACCGGAAGTGCCTCTACGAGCTACCGTCCATTGAGCTTGTTCTTACTGATATTTTTTAGCACTGGGCCAAACCAACCACAGCTACACCATAAGAGTGTTTAGCAGCAGGAAGAAGACGAGACAGGTACTTTACAACATCCAAATAACCACAGTCTCATTCATTCACTTTCATTCCTCTTAAGGTTCCGCGTTTCCGTTAGCTAGCTAACTAGCTGTGAGCCGCAAACTGGACTCGTGTCTTCTTCCTGCCTGAAACGCGGCCATAGACTACAACGACAGCAGGGAGTGTTGTGACTTACACATGTGTGTTTCACAGTAACATGTCCGGGGGAAACAAAGCCATCGAGTTGCAGCTTCAGATGCGACAGAACGCGGAGGAGCTGCACAGCTTCATGAAGGAGCTGGAGGGCTGGGAGTCTGACATGAAGACGAAGGACGAGGAGCTGAGGACAACGGGACAACAGGAGACCGAGGTGTGTCCCCCGCTGCACGTGTTCGTCCCCCTCATGAGCAGGTAATGTCGTGTGGCTACTCCTCAGGTGTGAGCATCTCTGTGTCCTGTGTTGTAGAAGAAACTCCCACCTGTGCGCAACAAAAAATACCAAACGAAGATGAGGGAGAAGAGGAAGAAGAAGATGGAGCATGCTAGGAGTGGTGACGATAAAGCAGAGGAGCACCAACACTCGTCAAGGATAAAAGCACATGATTACCGATCGTGGGACAAGTTTGACGTGGTAGTTAACTAATTCTGATGCATTATACTTCATATCACAAGTGAAACTGTGGAGTGGGTTATGAAGTACGTGTGTTTGTGTGTTCACAGGACAAAGCTCTGGCCGAGATGGATAAAGAAGAAAGTCCAGTAGAGTCAAACGAGTCTGACTCAGAGGAAGCTGCAGTCGATCGAGAGAAAGCTCTGTCAGAGAAGGAAAAGGTAAACACTGAATAAGAAGTTCTAAAAGTACAAAAACTAAAAATGATGATTTCTTTCCTAAAGTATTTCACTTTTTATTTTCAGGGTAATATGTTGTTCAAGGAAGGGAAGTATGACGATGCCATTGAGTGTTACACCAGAGGGATGAGTGCGGATCCTTACAACCCTGTGCTGCCCACCAACAGAGCCACCTCCTTCTTCAGACTCCAAAAGTAAAGCACAGATCACGTGGCTGCTGTTTTGTGCTGATGTCACGATCGTGGAATGTTTTGTTTCTCTGCAAATTAATTCATCTTTGCTCATCGCAGGTACTCTGTGGCGGAGTCCGACTGCAACTTAGCGATCGCTCTGGACAGCAATTACTTTAAAGCTTATGCGCAAAGAGGAGCGGCACAGTTTGCGCTGAAGAAATATAAATCTGCTTTAGAAGGTAATGAAGCAAAACTATTACCTCACCTCTCAATCGTGATTCTCTGAGATAACAACATGAATCTGCTTCTGAATAGATTATGAGATGGTTTTGAAGCTTGACCCAGGGAACACGGAAGCACAGAACGAAGTGAAGAAAATCACTGAGGTGAGTGGGATCAGATCAGATCAGATGATGAGCGTCATTCCTCAAGCCTTCCTCTCTCTGTTTTTATTCAATGCTTTTTCGCTTTGTGGTTTCAGGCCCTTGGGAAGGAGGCCCCGACTTTCCAAAGTGAAGCCACGCAGCCACAGGAAGCTTCCACAGTCGACTCTGAGCAGCAGAGACTGATGGAGGAACAGCAGAAGAGGCAGGAGGCCGTTTTACAAAAAGACAGAGTAAGATATTTAGGGGTTTTCACAGTTGGACACATCAGCTCACACTAAAAATATGCACACATACCACTATTAAGAATAGTTTTAATGTCCAAGGAAGTTTTGTAAGAATTTGTCATCTTGTATTAAGCCAAAGATAAAAATCCATGACACTGTGGGTAAAAGAGACATTTTCAGTTCCTGATATTCCTTAAACACAGTTTTTTTTTACCCCCAGGCAGTTTCCACAATTGATTTATGTTTTCTGAATGTGCTACTCAGGGGAATGCTTATTTCAAAGAGGGGAAGTATGAAGCAGCCATCGAGTGCTACAGCCGAGGTATGGAGGCAGACAGCATGAACGTCCTTCTTCCTGCCAACAGAGCCATGGCCTTCCTGAAGCTTGAGAGGTAAGCACAACATCATTTTCTAATATTAGACATTACACAATCGTCTTGTTAATCTACAGACAATATTCATATTGTAGAGGTAATACTTTCAAAAATGCTCAATATGTACCATGTGCATGTGTCTAACTCTTATTACAGCAAAAAAAATGATCAACATTAAATTGAGTGGTAATTGCAGAAATGTTAGTAATAGAATGACAACATACTTTTTGTAATTTGTTGCAGGTATAAGGAGGCAGAGGAAGACTGCACTAAAGCCATTTATCTGGACAGTACTTACTCCAAGGCTTTTGCCCGTCGAGCAACAGCCAGAGTGGCTTTAAGGAAATTAGAGGAGGCCAAACAAGGTGCTTTACAGAACAACACTGTCGTAAAATGTCCATCAGCTGCCACAGCGTTCCATGTCTTTATTTTTAACAGCAAGAGGCCAGATCTGTTTAATTACTAAGTTATCTCACACTTGATATAAAGACATTTAAAGAGTCGTCGTAAATTATTTTTGAAATAACGAGTAAATGTTATTTGTATTAAATGTTTTGTTATTTGTATTCTCAGACTTCCAGGTGGTGTTGAAGCTGGAGCCAGGGAACAAACAGGCCTTGAATGAACTCCAGAAACTCAAGATTGTACGTTTCACAATCTATTAGTTTTGTGCACATATTTAAGTTAGAATCAAGTTGAGGCTGTGAAACAAAACCGGAAAGTAACTCCTGTGTAATAGAAGAAGGCCCTTCTGGTGCTTGAATTCATTTTTGTTGTTTGGATGAACAGTTGAAAAGTCACACTTCTCTCCTGTTTTAGGACGTTGGTGCCAGCGGACGTCTTCAAACAGACGACAGCTCACAGAGGAGAACAGTTCAGCCGATTGATAAACTGATTCATCTGCGCTCAACCGTGAGTTCCTAATTTTTTCACAATTCTACTTCTTGCTTAGTGCAGAGGTCTTTATTGATAAGTGATGAAAAATGTGTTACACCAAAGGCAGTGAAGGTGGAAATGAAAGGTTGGGTACTAAAAACATAAGATGCACTTAGATTGCTGAAAGGATAATTTAATTAAATTTAATCCTAAAAGGATGACCTATTTTTTTCTGATCGTAAGGTTGATCTATAATGTTGAGAATCTGTCTCATTGGTTTTTTAAATCAAATTAACAAACGTCCTAAATTTGAAGATGTGTGATTTACTAAATTTTGTTTTGCAAATTTGAAAGTCTCTTTTAGAATATGTCAGAGAAAATTGATAACGTGAGGAAATTATTTTAGGTTGAGGAATCTGTAATTAACACTCATGATTGTTTATTTATATAAGTAAATAACAATTGGCAACACTGACTTGAAATAAGAAGATAAATCCATGTAGCACACACGTGTAATCATAACACAGAAATGCTTTATCTGAACATGTTTATATGCTGAGTCTTATTTGTCCAGCGGGTGGCAGACATAAGTGCATCACTTCATTATTATGTTTGATTAGGGAAAAAACCTGACTTTGTGTTTTCTGTCTGACGCTCTTCAGAAACCTATGAGGAGAGTGGAAATCACGGAAGTCAGTGGGGAAGCTACGTTGCCTGAGGAGGAGTCAAGTGGGTCCAAGACCTTCATCCAGGAAGTGTTGAGGGAGCGTGAGGATGACTCCTCTCCACTGTCCACATCACCCAGTGCCAAAATTATCAAAATCGAGGAGACGGCAGACGCACCCTCGCCCGTATCAGAAAAGTTAGTGACACTGTTTGATTATTGGTTAAAAACATTTAACACAATTCTGTCATTATGTAGATTATTATATTCATTTGTATTTTGCTTTGGTTCACTAGGGTCCCTCCCAGCAGACAGTCTGAACCAGTGCAGGATGAAATCACTCACCCGCCTGAAACGTCAACCATCACTCCCTCATTAGTTATAGACCTGCCCCCTCCACCCACCAGCAGCTTCCAGCTGGAGGCCGACATCCGCAAGATCGGACAGCATCCAGAAGTGATTTACAGATATCTGAGGGTGAGCTGACTTTTACAGTAACAGACATAATTAAATGTTACAGGCATCACATTGATCATAACATTTTTCATTTTCATCACTGTTTCTTTGAAATAAAATGTATTTGAAAATGAAATCAGGAATTCAATGAAAAAGTTAAGATTTCTTAACTTGAAGCGTCAGATTAAAAGTTTTTTTGTTCATTTTTTTTTTATCTTGCAGCAAATCAAGGCTGAATCGTACATTAAGATCTTCCAAAGCTCCCTTGAACCTGACATCCTCAGTCAGATACTGACAACGCTGCACGAGTTCTACATAAAGTACGTTTCTTTTGAAAAAAATGCCCAGAGAAAAACTAAGGAGCTGATTTGTTATATTGTGAATATTAGTTATTGTTCAGTGCATTTGTGTTTATTGTTAAAGAGGAGAAAGTGCAGTGATATATTGTTTAATAAGAAAAGCTCTTGTGTAGGAATGACACGCCTGCTGTCATACTGGAGGTCCTCAGCAGTCTAGCGAGTGTGCGGCGCTTCGACATGACTGTAATGTTCATGTCGTCTCCAGAGAAGAAAGGTAAGAGTGTGTTCAATGTGTCGATGCTGACGACTCATTTTCATTGTATCATTTTCATCTGCGCACCGTTGATGATCGCTGTGTTTTTTTTCTATGCTCCAGTGCTGAAAGACCTGTTCGACTTCCTTCACCGAGCCGAGCTGGACGAATCAGCCATTACACTCTTACAGAAGAAGTACGGTGTGTGAGGCTCCACGTTTCAGTGAAGACACTTAAGCATCCAACAGAAAATGAACACCTGGTATTTCCAATAAAATAAAACATGTACCAATAAATACATGAAACAGGCTATTCTTTTCAATTTCATATAAAATATAGTTTTGAATAATATCTTTGTGGTGTGTTATCACCATTCAGCCTGCAGGTGGAACTAAAGCTGAACCACAAAGTTGAGGAAATGTAAAACCTACACACACACCCCCCACACACACCCAGAGTGTTTCTTCACTCGACTCACCCTCCTGTGATTAGGTTCATTGACCTTTGATCATTTTCAGCATGGCTTGACCCAGAAGCCGGGGCGGAGATATAACTGAGAAACCCTGCGTCAAGTATGGAAACATGTTGGATCTGTTTAAGACTTTAATTCAATGATGAGACAGTGTTTTTACAAATCTGATAACTCTTGATATAAAAGGCAGTGCATTTCATTTATGCATCGACTTTCCAGCTTAATTAGTGTTGTTGAATCTTCAACCAATTCTTACTTCAGATGTGGTTGCTCCTGTTTCCACACTATCAAGCACCTTTTCCACGTCACTCCCTGCAAAGTGCAAACACGGATCAGCCCAATGTCAACATGTGAGGCGAGTGCAAAGGAGTAATTTGTAGAGTGTGTGAGTCATCACTTCCCCAAGACTTAGAAAGATTTCTTTGTCACTGATTCATCCCTGAACCTACAGATAGAAATGATTTGAATGATGGAAAGAAAAATACTATAGTGCCACAGATTAAATACTGGACTACTTATATTTGTATCAGTGAAATAATATGTTGGGAGCAACTAAAGCGACAAACTAAGAGTAAACTAATAAATGAAGACAGTAAATCATGTTGCTGGGACAATAACTCTCCATGCTCCAGTATAAGAGCCTTACCTGTGTGCAGTGGATCACAGTGTAAAGAAGACCGTCACCATGGAGACCAACAGCAGCAGTGCTGAGGTCTCTTCAGGACGAACAGACAGGTTTTGATTTGACCCTGAAACACAAGCAAACAGAAAAAGAACGTCGATCAGAACAGTGTCACTATAATGTGAGGTTGTATATTAAAGCATGTTGCAGCTTATCTACCTTTAACTTGTGCAGTCTTTAACACTGTGCCCGTCCTCCTGGAAGCTATGTTTTGTGCCTCGCACTTGAGAGTGACAGATTCAAGTGGATGATCCACTCTGATCTCAATCACATTGCCCCTCACGGTCTGACCGTCCACAGACAACAAGTAGCGACAAGATGGCAGACACTGGGCGGAACACACAAACATATACTTCTTTGCAATTTCTATGATGTCGGGGCCTTCGATCTGGACCTTTGATGGACCGGCTGAAAAAAAGATAGCGGGGACAGATCAAAAACGACAAAATTGAACTGTACACGATTCAAAAATGCAAATGTATTAGACTACATCAGTGCAACGCATGAAGAAGAGCAGAAAGAGTTGTTCATTAGGCTGTTTCTAAAACAACTACTTTCAGAGGACCAGTTCTGCAGGGTTGCCAGGTCTGTGGATTTCTCAAGGAATTGGGTAAATGATCATGTTTCACTTCATACAAAATAAACAGGTTAGCGGAATTCAGTGTATGCTTAGCTCATTTACTCATAACACACAAACTTAACTGTTTCCTCCTCCACCTGCTGGGATGACAAATATTTACTGTTTATAAGTCATATACATTTACTGTAGTATAGCTGATACACCTCATCATGTTAATTCACAACCACTGAGAGGTTTTAATGTTATCGCTCATCTGTGTATATATCTTGAGTAGCCTATATTACTCAAAAACATATCAGCTGAAATCATGTAAATAAAATGCCAAGTATAAATACATAGCCTATTTACACAAGTATTTATTATAAGTATATGATTGAAATACAGTGAAGCAACATGAGGTGTGGCAGTTGAAACAGTAGGCTATAGGACATATAACCAGTGAACTCATGTCATCCAGGTGGAGAGGGACAAAGCTCTTGTGAATTTACATGTCTTCATTAAACAGGGTTATTTTAGTACATTGGTTAAAGAACTGAGAGTTCTGGCATTAGTCTGGTTTTGTCTCACTGATCTGGCAACCTCTGCACTTCTGTCATGAAACAGCAGGTTGACTTTAGAAATGTGCAACATGCTTTTCAAAGTAAAAGTAAACATCAGTTATACTGAAAGAAATAATTTCTTTATCGATTACTCCCAATGATTGATGAGCTAATTAGCAAACATGTTGATGTTAGTTAAATGAAATTGGTACTACATGTTTACTTTCTTGCCTTGAGTTAAAAGACCAGATTTATACCACTCTCATACAGTAATGCTGAATAAGCTAGTGCTGGCTTAGCTTAGCATACAGACTGGACACGAGGAAACAGCTATCCTAGCATACAGACTACACACATGGGGAAACAGCTAGCTTAGCATACAGACTGGACA